GCAAGCCGTGTATGATCCAGGCCTCTAGGGTGCTGTACGAGGGCTTAGGGTGTAGAGTTAAGGGTTCTGGCTTTACTCTTTGAATAAATTAAACGACCGCTCGCAGCCGATGCACATGGGAGTCGGCAAATCGCAGAGAGGAGGACCCACAACATTCCAAAGTCTGTCATCCCTAAAACCTAAACCCTAAACCCTAAACCCTAAACCCTAAACCCTAAACCATGTGTTATCGTCAGGAAACCCTCGCCTGCATACCAAAAGCACAAAACCTGGGGTGGAGTTGCCATAGATCGCAAGATTCAGGGTTTAGGAGGACTTGGGGTTTAGGGTTTAGGGTTTAGGGTTTAGGGTTTAGGGTGCAAGATTCAGAGCCTGAGCCTCCTAAACCCAAAGCCCTAAGCCCCAAACCCCAAACCCTCAGCCCTAAACCCCCAAACTTGATCCTAAGCTCAAGCGGTTTGGGGCTAGGGATTGCAACGTGAACCCAAACCCAACGGCAACACCAGGACCCCGAACCCTGAAGGTTCATGCGTGTTTAGTGTTATAGGGTTTAGGGTTTAGGGTTCAGGGTTCACCTTTTTGGGTTCAGGGTTTAATGAAAAGGAGCCCTCCTAGGGGACATCCATGGTGACTTGTTGGGGGCCCCTACTCGCAACCGGTGAACCCTATCGCGTCCAAAACCCTGTAAGACCCTAGGCGTTAAACCCGAACACTGCCCTGAACCTGCACCCGAAACTAGGCCCTAAACCGCGACACCCTGCCACCCTGAAACCGCGCAAGCACTAACACTCTAAACATCTCCAAATTCTTTTCCTAGAACCCCAGAGCCCTAAACACACCAAGCCCTAAACCTTAAACCATTGAAACAGAAGCAGAGTCTCCCACACGGCCGTGAGTTCTGTACCTCTGGCTGAGGGATCCCTTTTTCTGGGTTTAAGGTTTAGGGTTTAGGGTGTATAGGGTTTAGGGCAGCCCGAAGGGTCCAAGATTTCTGCACTTGGGCCCGAAATAGCTCAGGGCAGGCTTCGGAAATCTCTCATGGGGGTTAAAAACTGTTGAAAAGTGTCTTACAGGGTCATTGGGTAAGAATTAGAATAGGGTCGTGGGGTCCATTGTACTAGAAATAAAATAAGGATCCCCCCCAATAGTATTGGTATTAATTTGGGATCCTATGGTATGCGACTTTAACTGCATGGAGCCTTTGGGAGCTTGCTTGAAGCTTGATCGGGCAGTACTTATATGGGCTCTACAAGTGTTTTCCAGGGTGTGCATGGCGATCTCATGCTAAACTAAGGTTTGAAGCGGTAAGCTTGAAGCTTCATGGCTAGTCGGAAGCATTCATATCGAATACATTCCCACTAAAGATCTTAAAGCTGATAATGCACCGGGGGGGCAGCTCAGGAAAGGATAGAAGGAACGGACTCACATTCAAATGCACACTTTGGGGCCTTTGTCCAAAGCCTAAGCCTTAAGCCCTAAACCCCAGACCCTAAACCTTGAGACCACATCAACTCAGTGGATACAACCGCCAACGGGCTTCAGAGGTATATACAACGTAAAACGGGGCCCTCGATGGTTGGAACAGGCTTCCTTTAAAGGGATGCTCAGGGAGTTCTATAAGGGTCTATCATAGGGTTTTTTTAATTAGGTACCTAACAATTAGAATAAGCTTTTGGGGCACATTATACGCTAATGTAGGGCCCTTAATATTTGGGCTCCTGTAGCCCTGCGGAATAGTATTGGTAATTATCTAAGCTTCTACAGTAGGTTTCTTGGAGGAGACAACGAAGAGATCACGAGGCTGAAAATTACGAGGAATCGCGAGTTCTGGTTTAGGGTTTTGGGGTTTTAGGGTCTGGGCATTTAGGGCACTAATTAGGGCTTAGGGTTAGGGTTCGGGGTTCAGGGTTTTCGCATCCAGGGCTTATTCCAAGAGATGATCCTTCAAGCGTCTCTTGCATCTTAGGGTTCAAACCCTAAACCCTAAACCTTTGACTCAACACCCCAAAACCTACGTCCTACAGCTGAAATCCCAAACTCCAAAACCTAAATCTTAGAACACTGCACCTTAAAACATAAATCTCCAACCCAAACCGGAAGCCTTGCCACTAAAGATATATATATATATATACACATAGATCCTCAGCCCTAAACCCAAAACCTCGTACCCTAAATGTCAAACCCTAACACCTAAACCCTAAACCTCTTCGATAAAGCCCTTGAAGGAACCCTTAACGGACACCCTGAACCCTAAACCCATGAAGCCCAGGAAGGCCAAGCCGCCGGAAAGTCCGCGCATCACGCGGCCGGAAGCTTGGAATCCCGAAATCCCCGAGCCGCGGAGTGTCAAGGGCAGTCTAGGCTTTAGGATTTAGGATTGAGGGTTTAGGGTTTAAGGCTTAGGGTTTAGGGATGGTGGAGACAAGGGAACTGGGTCTCGGCTACTATCGGCTGCTTTTATTATTGTTAACATGCTATGGTTCTTAATTATTGTTAGTGCTACCATTACTACGACTATTAATTCTAGTGCTGTTCTTATATACCGTTATTGCTATGCTACTGTTGCTATGACATACTATGACGAATATTACTACTATCAATCTAGCTTGTACGTATCATTTTTTGAGAGCCTCTTTGCATCCGCCGGGTTGGGAGCCCGGAGGGGCAGCTCTAGGGTCTCATTGGCTCCGGGTTTAGGGTTCCGGGTTTACGGTTTGGAGTTTAGGGCTCGGGGTTTAGAGTTCAGGGTTTTGCTTAGGGTTCAGTGTTCAGGGGTTCAGGGGCTTGAGGTCTTTAAACTTCGGGCTCGGCATGGGCAAAACGCAAGGGGGGAAAGCGAAAGCTCCAAAGCCATAGCCAGGAGAGTTAGGGGTTAAGGTATCCGTTTCAAGCTTTGGGGGTGTCGTTGTGTGCAGTCGGTCGTTCAGACTCGCATTCAGGGTAATTGCTGGCGTTTGTGATGCTACGGTACCTGTAGCAGCAAAAGCCGAAGCAAGCAGGGTCTCGGGATGCATGCTTTGCTTTCGTAGTTCGTGCGAGGAATTCGTGTCTGAAAAGTCTGATCATTAACTAGACCGGTGTCTCGGATATCCCTAAACCCCAAACCCTAAACCATACGATAATTCCATGTGAGCAGTCTTGCTCCTGCGGAGTTAAAGTGTCGCAAGCTGCGGCTTCGGAGCGAGGCTTTACAATTCCGGGTTCTTGCCAAGGAGCTTAAATTAAGCTGCCATGATCGAGGTCAGCCTATCGCTCTTGCTGCTTTAAGTTGCCATAATAAGCGAACCATCTTGACTATTGTTTAGTACATATCCATGTTGTTGTAACCTAGGGTGAGTTCCTTACTTAAAACACGATCCCAGTTTTCTCCTCCCAGGACAGCAGGAGAATGGCACAGGTCAAGTTGTCCGTCGAGCCGCGATCTTTGGCAGCCTGCACACCAATTTTGTCGAGTTGCCTTTAGGGTCCCCCATATTCTGGATACCCGCAGCAGGGACCCTCTGGGTGGTATAACCTTTGAAGGAACCCGAGTAGAACCCTCAAAAGAACCGATGCGTTTAGGTGAGTTCAAGCTCTCAGTTGCCTCCCATGAGGTGTCAGAAGCTCTGCAGAAAGGACTCACTTTCATGCTGTGCCATAACACGTGAGATGCTCTCTGTGACTGCAGCTGCCTGGGCGGTCTCTGGCACGGAGGACAGTGGAAACTACCTGTTTGTGTCCCTTCTCTTGGGCTTCCAACATGAGCATGAACACCTGGAAGTTGGCACCGAAGCACCTCAAACAAAACCTTTTGTGCTCCTGCTGCTTGCAGACAAACGAGCCGAAGAGCAGCCACAGCACCCGAGTGGGGTTTTTCGTCCGGGACACTACCCCGTTGCCCCTGAAGCACATCGAATCGTGGAGGGAGCCACGTTGGCTGCACGCAGGGCAGCGAAGGAAATGCTGCAGTTCTGCCACGACGCTGCATCATGTTTACGGTATAGAATGTTCGCCGGCTCCTCGATGACTTCTTGGGACGTGAGCTGCTTGCTTTGCGAGAAGCTGAGCATCAATGAAGGTGGCTGACCCTACACCATGGCACTTGTACAAAGGATTATTTAAGCAGATCAGACTAAAGCGGTAGGTTGTTCTACATTGGGGTTCAGGCAGGAGCTAACATATGCAGCTGTGATGCTTGCCCTAGTTGTGGTTAGGACCCTGCGCGAACAAAACTACGGTAACAAACAAGCCGAGGTACAATCGAGGGTCGATGTAGGGTTTAGGTCACAGATGTCTCAACTGTCGGCTAAACCCTAAACCTTAAAACCTGTTGGACCAAAACTGTGCCCCTAGACCGAGCCGAAGATGGGTGCGAGTTGAATCCACGAGCCTTCAGGCTCTGAAAAGCTGATTCCCTAAATCCTTAGAGCCCTAAGAATTAGGATTTAGGGTTTAGTTTAGGGTTTAGATTTTCGAGCTCTGAGCCCCGAAGCACCACGACTTCAAGCCAAGATTTAATGTGCTACTGCGGTTTGGGTTTCGGGTTTACGGTTGAGGGTCTAGGTTCTACGCTCTGCAACCCAAGAAATCGTGTGAGCTCCAGGCGAGTGTCAACAACTTCGATTCCGTGTCTCCGACATGTTCCAGACTCCGCAACAACAACAACGACGACGACGACGACTACTA